GTTTTGATGGGATGGTTCGTGCTAGCCGTCCTGCTGAATGCTGTGCTGGCGCAGCTCTCCTTGGGCATCCTTGTGAACATCCACATCATCCTCACCGTAGCTGTCCTATCTGCCGAGGTGGGGACAGGTAAAGAAAAAAAGAAGAAAAGAAAAAAAGAAAAAAAGAAGAAAAGAGAAAATAAGAAAAAGGAAAAAAAGAAAAAAAGAAAAAAAGAAAGAAGAAAAGATATGTTGATCTGTGGGATGTGTTATTTGCTTTGTGACAATTGGATTATCTCTCTTTCCCTGTCAGGTTTGGTTTCCTCCTCCTTTTCTTTACCTCTTTGCCTTTTGGCTGCGTGCAAGTGGGTCGTTGTGACACACGGGGATGGGGGCAGCCAGCGCTCAACCTGTCATCCACAGAAAAAGGTAAGCTTATCTGTGGGTACGTAAGAGGTGATGAATAGGTGGGGCTTTCCTTCCTTCCTTCTTTTCCTTTCCTTGTTTTGCTTTTTTCCGCCTTTGCGCTCTGATTTTACAGTGTGACAATATATATATATATAGAGAGAGAGAGAGAGATGCTGGGGAATATCTATCCATGGGCTGAGTGGCAGGAGGATGCGGGCTTACCATTGGTTATGCGGAGTTCGTACTGTGCGTAGCACAAGGAGAAGTTGGGATGTGACACTGGTCTGCAGGATTATCGATTTGTCCGCACAGATTGTGCAATTAACAAACGCTCAGGATCTGTATTGGCCGAATCTGTCACGATTAGCTTGATCTTCGTGGCCGAGAAGAGGGGTTAAGCCACCAGTTGACACGAACCTAAGTTGGCGAAGCTACCTTCCTCCAAAGGCTTGCGAGTGTGTTCAAAACGTGGCCTGCCGGGTTCGATACGGGCCCAGGCCTGAATCGAAAAGCTTGTGCCGCGTGAACTGGTTAGAGCCCTGTTCTGCTTGCGGTGAACTGGCGGTTTAACGTAGAGTGATCGTTCAGAGCAGACAGAGATAAAATATCATTAAAATTAAAAAATGATTTAAAAATGTCATCTTGAGGTCAACGTCCATGCGGAAGGATGACACACATTAATTGAGAAATGGTCCAAAAAAAAAAAAAAAAAAAAAAAAAAAAAAAAAAAAAAAAAAAAAAAGTCATCTTGAGGTCAACGTCCATCGCCAGGGTTTGGATGCACTTCAATGTTGCGAAAGCATTCACAAATAGACACGACACTGAGACCGTAGTCACAGCAATCACAAAGCTGTTCAAGAAAGGAGCAATCCAATGCTGTGGCCTGGCCTTCTCAGTTGTTGTTGTTGTTGTTGTTGTTGTTGTTGTTGTTGTTGTTTTTGCGCCATGGCCAGGCCATCATGATGCATGTCAACTTGGCAAGGGAGAATTCAGAATGAATCTCTGTTCTGTGTCATTTTGGTTTTGTCTTTTTCCTCGTGGATCGGTAGGGGTTGTGGGCGAAAAGGGTGAGGAGAGGGGAGGAATCACGGTTGGCTTTCGCTTTGCGTCTTCAGGTGCAGGCCCTGCTCTGTCGTGTGTGACCATCTGGAGGAGGCAGCTGAGAAAATCTGGGAACAAGGGAAGTTTCGACTAAGGGTGAGTGTTTTGAATCCTACCTATTTCCTTATGGGGGCCACACTCAGGGAGTCCAAGTGAAAAATCTCTCCTCTCCCCTCCTCCTCCTGTCCTCACCCCATCCATGGTCGGCTGCTTGATCTGTTCCCAGGCGACAGTCTTTCCTCTGGCTGTTTTGCTTGCCCGCCGTTTCAGCTGGTTGCGTGATGCTCCTACCGTTTTCGGACGAATAGAATGCCTGGTCATTATCGCTGAATCTAGACTGAAAGTTGCACGAAAGACAGCAGCTATAATGACCGGGTGTCCTATTCGGCTGAAGACAGTAGTAATGACACGGACATGGCGTCGGAGGGAGGGAGTGGTGGAGCTATAATGACATATTTGTCTGTTAGTCGTTGCTCCTTTGTTGTTCCTTTCTTTGGGTTGTGGGGTTTTTGGCAGACTTCCTTTTTTTGCATGTGCAGAGAGCGTGCATGCACATAGGAGAATGAATCTAGACTGAAAGTTGCTCTTTGCACTTCGCAAAAAGAAAAGAAGTCAACTGCAGGTATTGTCCTATAGGAGGATGATCATACTAACAACAGTAGGGCGGCCGTCCTGGCTGCGCTTCTTGTCTTGTTTTTTTTTTTGTGAGAACTGGGTGACGGTCTTCAGAATTATTTTATGTCGTTTGTTATGCAGTTCATCGGGACTTGAACTCAGGTCTGTATTTCAAACAGTTCATTGGTGTACCAACTGCACTTTCATGTCCACGTTCATAAGAGAATTCAAAGTCTTCTCAGATATAGGAAGAAGGCAACTCATGCATAGACTATCGTCTTCCCCCGAATAGTACGTATGGTCATTAGAGCAGTATGGGTACAACGACAATGACAGTACCTTTTAGTGCAACTTGCAGTCTAGGTACAGCGATAATGACAGTACCTGGTCCATTCTATCCAGGTGAAGACGGTGTCGAGCGCATCGGTCCGGCACCGCACGTGGCAACGCGGGACCCTCTCGGCCGCGTCACGCAGGAGTTGGACCAACCTCGACACGAACGCACAAATGGAGCTTCCTTAGGCCGCTCCCACCGAGTGCGCCAGCCATACCTCTCGCGAGCCCCTACGACGGGATAGGACCTACGCGAGGCACAACTTACCTCCACCTTACGGGAGCTGTCACCTCCCTTTGGTGGGCGTATCCCCGCCGAGCTACCAGCCCACAATACAAAAGCTGATCAGTTGCAATCGCAGAGGTGGACCAGCCGAGGACGTTTCTCGTTTGCTGTAGCATAGGGGGCACGCGTGGTAATACGCCTATCGGACCCGCACGCGAACCGACATTTGGGGAGGCTAAAGTCCCAAGCGCGGCTCGTCGTCGGTCGACTAGGACGCATCCCACACACCACGTGCACACCACTCTACGAACACACAAAAAGAACACCCACACATACACACGAAACGACCCAACACAAACAACGCGACAACGCTCCTAGCCCCTTCAGTGACCATCCCATAACTCTCCACTGCGGAAATTGGATAGGCGTCGCGCGCGAGACTTAGTATAAAACTGGGCGGACGCAGGGCCTACTCATATCGACTAGCAATGCAAACGTACGCAAGCAGTCGCAATGATGGCGTACCATGTAGTACCCATACTCGCGCGGCCCTCGTTAACCTCGAGGGTCGCGTTCGACACTCAAGTGTCGGCTGACACGCGCCTTGAGGGTTAATCTCTCGACGTCGGACAACCGCCATGTGCGGTTGAAGACCACACACCCTCTTTTGCACCTTATGCAGAGCGGTCCATACCTGTGGTGGCAGTCGTTTCTCGCGGCCCTGGAGATGAGTCCTACTCCAGGCCTGGGCGGAAGTCAAGGGGTTTGACTTTGACGACTACCACGGACTATAACGTCCAACCATGAAAACCTTAAAAAGCAAGAGTAGGCCGAAGGCCTCCCTGCCCCAAAAATCACGATTCGGGTGCCCCCGTTTTTCTTTTGGTTGCCACCGCGGTCCGTGTCACTGCTGAACAGCCGCGCACACGTATAAATCCCTTGGTCCCATAACCTTTCGAAGCCAGGGCGGCGAAGCGTCGTGCGCAGAACTTCGATATACAGTCGCGCGGCTGCGGGCCAAACCCATACCAACCGACGATGCTAGTCATACGCGGTGATCGCGGCTCCGACCTTGCGATATTGAATGACTGAAGGAATATATCGCGGGGGGCCACCCCTCACGATATTGAACGGCTGAAGGACATGTCGTTCGGCCCTCGCGACATTTCCGCCTTCAGGGTTGGGTGTCTCGACGGCCCACGCAGATAGGCTCAGTACGAGGGGAGATTCTTCCTCGGCAGAGCCTAGGGCTGGGGATGTTCTGGACAAGGACCTTGAATCCCAGCCCAGGACCAACGTCCGACTAAGAAAAACCCCAAGGAGCAAATAAGATTAAAAGGAAAACTTTCCTTATGTCCTCTCGGTCTTAGCCTCTGAATATGCCTTTAGTATGGGGCTCCTTAGGCCTCGCGAACACCCACCATAACTACACCCAAGCATACATACATAAGGGAGATAGAGTTGCGACGATCACTTCTCACAGGCACAGTGAGACTCCTCACGATCATATGTACATATGCGGGATCGCAGGCAATCCAAATCCAAAATCCGAGCCACAGGACATACCTGCAATCACATCAAGAATCAATCGGCAGAACATACACCACGTGGGGTCAACCCCAACCAATCTTCGCAACCATACCCCTTGCTTTAGTCATGCAAACCCCAGCCTCCTGCCCAACCAACCATAATTAAATACTCAGCACCTTTGTTAAATGGCCATTCAATAAAAGCCCGGGTGAAACCCTTAACAAACAATAAAGTCGCCAGGGCTAAAGCCTTTTAGGTTGAGTATGGAAAGTGAGTTGGAATTGAGTCGTGGACCGACGAATCGGCAACCGACCTGTTATCAGTGATAACAGAAGATGATCCTTGTAGGACCAAGCTGAATCTAGTCCAAGTCTTGAATCAATCGATCCAGAAGACCTGTAACACAAGACAGACCAATCCCCAAGCTAAAATCATAAGTGTATGGAGAACACAACTCCATAACACATTCTCACCYAAGAYCCTTCTAATTGACTAARCCTGAATYTAYCTTTAAGCAGTGCCCAAAGCAAAGGTAGACCCTGACATAATCTCCCCTATATAGAGTGGATCGCTAGAATCGCCACCTATCAAAATATAATCTATCTCCTCTAAACTAGAAACATTTCGGCAGCGCTTCCCGTAGGAGAAGTGCCTTTTCAGAATTTGTATCAGCCCAAATATGAAAACAGAAACAACCCTTGACTTTCCAAAGTCCGATTTTGTCTAATTCTTTGAATTAGCAAAAAGTTGGGCATCCCTCCCTTTAGAAAAGGAGACTTTCTAGATTTTTACTAAGCCATATACAAATCGTAGACAAACTGAACTATGAAAAGTCAGAAATTTGACTAACTCCTTGGATTTGCAGAAATTTCGGCAGCGCTTCCCGTAGAGAAAGTAGCTTACCAAGATTTATAAAAGCCCAAGTGTAACAAAAGATCTAAAAAAATGCAAAAATCGATCTAAGTTAAAAAACTTGGCTCAGAAAATGCTGGAATCGACCTAACTCCTATCGCTCTAGCACGTGGCGAGCTTCTAAAGCAACTACCTGTCAGACTGAATCTCAGACCAAGTAGTAGCCTCACTCAGTCATATGCAATGCCAACCACAAAAGTAAGTACTCTCACCAGCCCCAAGCCAACTTAACAAACAATAGTTCGTAGTCTTTCAATGATTTAATCCTTTATACCCAGTTTACATAAGGCGTAAAGTCAGGCCATCCAATCTTATGGAACATGCCTGACTCAGTCATCAAGTATACACGAACAGGTTGCACAACTACTTTCCTCTTCCTTCGGGCATATGACTTAGCCATCCATCTTAGAAACAATGCTTAGTCGCCCCAAAATGTTTAATACCCAAGTTATATATATCTCTCTGAACTTAGTCTTCAAGGGGGCGTAGGACTGAGCCATTCATCTTAGAAACAATGCTCAGTCGGCCCAGGTTACCTTCAGTTTTACTCTTAGTTATACTCTCTTCAACTTATAAGCTATAGCCAGGCCATCCAATCTTATGGAACCCGTGCCTTACTAGCCTGTTCATAAATAAAATAGTATAGGGTATAGCCAAATTATAACCTTTTGGTTCTAACATGTCCGAGGCATTGGGCCAAACCATCCAATCTTATGGAACATGTCTGGTCCTCTGCCAGGTTCGTTTCTCTCTGATCCAGTTGTGCGTGGCATGAGTCCAGGGCCATCCAATCTTATGGAACATGCCCTCGCCCCCAACCAAAGTTACTCCCTCAGAACAAAAGCAGGAAGAGGCTGAGCCATCCAATCTTATGGAACTTGCTCGGACCTCCTCGTTCAGAGACTAACGAAACAGAGCAAAACCCAATTAACACGAGGCAACCAAGCCATCCAGTCGTATTGAACTTGCTTGGCTCCTGAAAGTCAACCACAGTCAAACCCCTGCAAGTAAGAGCAATCAGACCATCCAATCTTATGAAACTTGTCTGATTCTCAATGCAATTCGAAAAATAAAACACAGCAGTCAGGCCATCCAATCTTATGGAACATGCCTGATCCCACAAGACCCTTTCAACCTCAAGCAAACCTGCCTTTCTCCCACCCTTCCCCTAGATGCAACCCCCTTTGTTACAATCTGCTTTCAGTCAAGCAAAGAAACTGAGACTGCCATTACACGTACGTTCCTTTACTTAGTGTGGGTTATGTCCTGAAAGTCAAACCCAAAGTCAAAATACAGGATGCACACAATACACTCAGTCAGATACATAGCAAGATGTGTAGATAAGGGTTATAACTGGGTTTATAGAGGGGGAAACAATGGTTACCTCTCAGTTCCCTGCCTCCAGAACCCTTCCTGAGTTCCGGCAGAGCTCCCGCAATCGGTGGGGCGAACCTCCCACAAAGGCCTTGGCGCGGATTAC